GTTTTCTGTGACGCTGTTTTTTTTGGTGAGTGGACTGGCCCAAGGAGAAACATGAATGCAGAGTCCTTTGATATCTTAGGTGGAGGGGCATAATCCATTTCAACATGACCAGGGGAGATGTCAGGGACAGTTTCCTCAACTTTGTCACCACCAGACTCTTGCTGTAGAAAAATGAAAACTTAAATGATAAAGAGAAATTAATTTGCAAAATAAAAAAAATAAAAATAACTCACCAGAAAATTTAACATATTCATATTGGCAATGGAAGGAAATGACTATTTGTATTCAAAATTGAGTAGTGCAAAGAAACAATCTTTTTTTTTAACTAACATTTTTAAAATATTTACATTTTTGCACTATATTAATAATTTCTCATGTCATACATGCATCCCTACAGTTACACACATGCATGGCATATACACACATTTCATAAACATACTTTGACTTCAAGTTGTTTGACTTCAGTGAGAGACACTGATCCTCTTGTCCAGCAGTTGTGCATGCAGAGGTGATGGATAGAGTTGGGGATTTTTCTTCAGACAAAACCAGTGTGGCTGCTTTCAGTGGTTTCAAAGCTTTCACTATATCTTCTCCATCAGCCTCTGTAAGAGTACAGAGATTACTGTCACTTCTCCTCACTTCAGGTGAGAGTAGAGCTGCAGAGATCGCTGGTTGTTGCTGTAGGAAGCGTTCCAGCATCTCCAACGTGCTGTTCCATCTGGTCACCCCATCAGTCGCCAGCTTATGGGCAGGTAGCTTCAGTATCTTTTGCTTCTCTGTAAGCTTGCGACTTCCAATAGTGCTGCTATGAAAAAAGGATGCTATGCGTCTCACTCGGCCAAGCAGCTGAGCAACAGCTGGAACTTTCAGACCTACTTCTGAAGCCAAATTAAGTGTGTGGGCAAAACAACCAATGTGCAACCAGCCCGTTATTTCCACAGCTCTCACCATATTTGTAGCGTTGTCAGTTATGATGACAGAGTTTTTGTTTGTAAGCTCACAATCTTCTATTGCCTTGGACATTATTTGAGATAAATTAACTTCTGTGTGGCTTGCTTCAGTTGTTCTTGTCCGTTAGACATGGGACACAGTCAGGTAATTATCTGTTGCTCTGGATGTCCAGCTGTCACAGTTATAGCGACTTTCTCTGCTGACTTGAGTGAGGCTGTAACATCGTTTTTCACTTCTGCATACATGTTTGGGATTACCACTCCACTAAAATTTTTGCATGTTGGTAAAAATGTAGCGTGGATTTGGACAGACGTATGTCTTTACATATGAAAGTTTGATAAACTAGGTTATTTTTTTGAGCACGTGGAAAAGTGGATGCAAATTTCACTGCAAATGCCTTTTTGAGTGAGTTTTGCTTCATGTTGGGTATTTTTGCTAGCATATCTGGATGATGCCTTGCTAAATGATTTCTGAGATTTGTGGTATTTCCACAATGTTTTACCATATGGCTTTGCTTTTGTCCAGCTCTTCACTGTATTCACAGTTCTTGAATCCAAAGTGCTGCCAGACATCTGCCTTTAGGCTTCGACAGCGCCCTCAGTGGAGGAGCCACTTTCCAGAAGAGTTGAAGCTGTTATAGCTTCAAATTCATGGGCCAACAACATGTTAACCCCTGTGTTAAGTTATTCATTGACAGAAAAACATGACTGACAAAATGGAGACCGACAAAATGCTGCAAGAAACATGTCACGACAATTGAGTAAAAACAGGCCCCTGTACAGGCCTGACCTCACTTGTATGTCTAATTACTGAGGTTGTGTAAAATCAGCTAATTTGCAAAAATTAGTCATGTTTACATATTTGTCAGTCCCCTCAAACCATTTTAGCTTTGTTTTGTTTGTTTTTTTAACTTTGTTTTAATTTACACTTATATACTGCTGCCACGTTTATAGTTGTTGTGGCATTGGCACTTCTCTTTTATTTTCAATCATAATATCATTAAAAGAAAAATACATGGCTTAAAAAAATCAAAGCAAATACATACATATTTCAAACAAAATTGTCTGCCCCCATCTAAACACACTTTTGTGTTACTCTCTCTTTTTTCCCGAAATATAGTAAAAATAGGTTTTCATGACTTTTTGAAGTGTTTGTGATGCCTGGGGGAGTATGTTATTTTTTCCAACCACATTTAACCACATATGGTATGTTGGAGGAATGCTTTTGAGACATCTATATGTAATGGCTTTAACTGTTGCTGCAACAGATAGCAGGTATTTACTAGCTGACCCCTCAGGTCCTGCAGGAATTAACCAGAGTGATGCAACCTTGGACAAGATTTGGTCAAATATCTAAATATCTTGTTGAGCGCATCAAAAACATTCCAATATATAGAGGGCAGGGTATGAGCAAGTGAGTGTGTGCCACAATTTCTCCAACATCTACTTGGGTTATGTTGGTATTTTTTTATTTTTTTTTAATCGTATTGTCTGTGTAGAGTCTCACCCATCCATTTGATGGTGGCATTAAGCACTTGAAATAAAGGCCAGTGATTGTTTTTGATCCATTCAAGAGGCTTCTTCAGTTGTTAAAACTGATATAGAGCCCAGGTATTTTACCCCTACTGGAGTGCTCCTGAGAGTCAACCTGTAGTCGGAGGTCTGAGAAAAACAGAAAAAATGAACGTTCATATTTTACTGATTTTATTATATCCAAATTGCAGGATGAACACAGGTACTTCAATGGCGACTGGAGTACCTGTGAAAGAAACAGTGCAAACATACAGCAGAACAACCTGACCTGCAAGAGGCCGTTAATCACCCGAAATCTTTAACTCGTGTCAAAATTTTTAAAATCATCGCCACACAAAATTACAAGTTCCTTCGACAGTGTGTAAAGCAGGATTGTAGGGATGTTTAACTCAGGCAATGTGTGTCTTATTTCCTAATTTCTTTATTTGAAAGACAAGATTTTCAGCTACTCTCTAAACAAAGCAGGCACTTTCATCTGGTTCTCTCAGAATATGTGTTCCAACATATACATTTATGCAACAACACAGAAGCGGTGAAAAAATGTAGACTACTAGTACAAAATGCAATTTGGAAACAACAAAAATATGCAATAGTGCACTACAGCAGCAAGATGGTGCTTTGACCAGTATCCCACCTCTACACACTTCTGCATCGTCACATATTCTTTTATCATCTTCTTGCTACATCATTCTACACGCTTACTGCTCTTATGGTTTCGTGGCGTGATAAACTGTTTACCAAAACATTAACCTCTAGGTTGGTGAAGAAACTGTTGACTCAAGCTTGAGAAATGTGCTCTACAACAGCAATAATTGTGGCATTTATGGGCTTGGCAGGTTTTGACAGTTAGATAGGCTCTTCCACATGTGAGGACTTACAAAATGAAAAATGGAGTCACACAGGGGTATACAACCAAACTTTGTTCAAATTGTAGACAACTTATTCTTGCAACATTCTCCTTAATGTCAAACAGCATTTACAAACTCCACCAAAGACCGAAAAGCGTTTCACACGCTGTTTTGACAGCTTGACAAAACAGCTTGTTTAGTCAAATGTGTGCTGTACGAATCTGAAAACACACATGGAGAAGTTAGTGGCAGTTAGTGGCTCTTGGCAAGAAACACTCTCCCCACATCAGTCACTCATCTTTAACATAGTAAGAAGGTGATTTAAGCTAGCTTTTTCTCTACTTAAATTTTCTCCACTGATGTTTTATCTAACAAGCGTTAGCTAGTTTATAAACTTGTCTATTTCAGCTAAGCAGAAGGTAGTTTGGGGGATGCCGTTATATAAAGTTTGCCTAACAGTGTTTTTTTAGTCAGTAACAATAAATGAAACCAGCATCAAACAGTTCATGGACTCCTCACTCGTCACTCACAGAAGTCTTCAGAGTCTTTAGCATCTTGCACACATGCTGCTTCCAGTCTTCCATTGAAGCAGACATTCATTGTATTTCAAAATCTTTGCCTTTCAGCTGTTGGGGACTCTCGTGCTAACCGGTCTGAAGATCTTCTTGAAGCAGATGGAGGTCTTGAGGGCATCACGAAACATGGAGCTGGAGAAAGCGTACACGATGGGGTCCAAAGCGCTGTTGAGGTAGGTTAACACGATGCATATCATGAAAACCTGGGTTACCTTAGTGTAGGACTCGCAGTCATGGGGGTGGTTTCCCTTGATGTAGGCCGCCGCTAGGCCTGTGATGACGCTTGGCATGAAGCACAAGGTAAACACCAGAATGATCACCATGACCGCTCTGATGGCCTTCCGTCCCTTCAGCTTCCTGCCTAGTCGCCGTTGGCGAAGCCGGCAGACTATCTTTGCTGAGCAGAAGAGCAGCAAGAACCAGGGCAGGAGGAACTCTGCAACAAAGGCAATGTAATGCAGCTTAATCGGCACAGGGTCTTCTTCATAGGAGTTGAAGCTACGGCACTTGCCACTCGCCTGGTGGAAAAGGTTAGCGGTCAGCAGCGGAATCCCGCGGACCACCACAGCAGCCCAGATCAAGCCTGCGAGCCAGCCCGCCTGTACTGAAGTCATTTGGCTGATGCAGTGATGTGGGTGGACCACCTTAAAGTAGCGATCAAGTGCCACCGCTGTCATGAATCCAATACTAGCAGAGCGATTGACAGTCAGCATGAAAAGGCTGATTCTGCACCAGACCCATCCAAACACCCACTTCCCTCGCAGGTGGGTGTCGATGCGGAAAGGCACGTTGATGAGGACCAAGAAGTCAGCGAGAACCAGATTGAAGAGGAAGAGGGTGTGAGGTTTCCATGACTTCATGCAACAGCAGAAAATCCACAAAGATACTATTGTTCCCGGCAGGCCCAGTATCTCAATTATCAAGCCTATTTCCATGAACATATTTTCTTTATTATTTTTCATGTGCCCGCTGCAGTGCAGTGAAGAATTATTTACTGCCTTCATTTCAGCTACGTGCCTTCTGAGCTCTTTGGTTTATCCGTAGTTCCTTATTTTCAGCAGGTCATGTGTTCTTTCATAAAAGAGAGAAGTGCAAAGAAAATAATTTTTTCCTTTTATTGAACATTTTGTGAAATAC